GAAAAGTCTGTAAAGTGTCCATGTAGCACATTCTCTCTTTCTCAAGATTCAATTTGCCGCTTGTCTCGAATATTTTAGGGATATAAAAAGGAAAGCTGTGAGAGCTTTTCATAAATAATTAAAAGAGATTCAATACGTAACAAACTTTGTGATCTGTTCACTATTTTGCCGGCGATTATTGTACAGTCCTCAATTTTCGTTCACGTTTCGACACGATACACGTCGTGCCGGAACACGCATTAATCCGTCAATGGCAATTTGCTACGGACGGCTTTTACGATCGCTTCGGGAATTATGTCATGCCATATATTAATCCCCATCCAGTTTACGATAGTGACCGATAATGCATATTTCATGTTTAGGCGAATGCACAGTTGCATCTCTGGAGTGCGTCTAAGTCTTATTGTTAGTACGCAATCTTATATGACGAAACTTATACATTCATAAACGTAATTATATATATATCTTCGAGGATGCACAATTGAAAAATTTATTTTAAATCTAACACATTTCACGTTTTAAATGGTCCACCCAAATTTTTATGCTAATTTAACACAAGACAAATATATTAGAAAGTAACACAGACATTGTGTAAAAATTGACACAAGAAATGTAACATTTTAACACAATTTGGATATTGCAAGAGCATATTTCTTTAGTAATAAAAATTAATATTTATAATGTATTAAATTACACATATCACATTTATCTCTTATTCATTTCTCTTAGAGAATTTACGTTTTAGAGCTACATTATTTTTACGTTATTTATTCGCTTATTCATAAATTGTGTTACTTTGACACTAAGAAATGTTTCGTGTTAAATATCAATTTAACACAAAATATTCAAATGCCGTACATTTATGTTAAATTAACACTCGGGTCTGTTAAAAATTCAACACAAAATTTGAACAAGTCTTAACAACAGCATAAAATATTTTCTATTGTATATTACAAATTTACCATATATAAATCTTCATAAGTTTGTTTATTGTTATATTTACCATTTATATATAAAGGTATTGAAGTCAGCGAATTTTCTCTTCGTTTTTTTTTTTGCGTCGTGGGATTTGTTCTAGCTTCAGAGAAATTTCAGTGAATTCTCCGGGTGAGCATGAAACTTTGCGGCGGCGGCGGTAGCGTCTGGATTAGCAGCTGGATGTCCATGTACGGCAAAAATTCGCGCACTTCGTTTCACAAAAATTTACTCCGCGTACGGGACGCGGGCGGGCGCAACGAAACGGCCACCTTTACGAGCCGGTTTTACGAGCGCGCGTGTTTTCAAAATACCGTCCCCATAAAATGAACTGCCGCAGTATCTCCGCCGTGTTTTACAGCGTTCGTTTTTTTTTTTCGTGCCCCTTCTTTTGCACTTTTGGATCTTTAATGCTCGCCGAGTGACCGGATTCGGGCCGGAAGCGCGCGCGAAAGATAGAAACGTCCCGTTTCTGGCCTTATCAGACACGCCGAAGTGGGAAACGCTGTTCCCAGTGATATCGTTTAACCTTTTCGGTGGTATCATCCAGCTGAAAAAACTTCGCACTCTTTCCAGCACATCAATTCTTCATTCTGATGCCATTCCCTTCCAACTGTAGAAAAAACATAATTTTCACAGGAATGATCTTTAGCAACGAAAATTTTCGAGTAAGAATATAAACTTAGAGTTAAAGCGAAATAGCGTTAGTAAAATCGCCTTTAGCGAGATACATCGAGATAACAATGTAAATCCGATAACTCATCTTTTTATTCATAAAAATTGAATCATCCAGATCCTCCTCCACCCCTCTCCCCGATTCGTGTAAAGATAAAGCCGCTTTTTTTTAGTGTTTGTGGACGAAATAGGAAAAGAGTACACTGAAACCTGTACGTTGAGATGAACCTTTGTTATCTCTACAAATACGAAATAACAATATTACAAACCAGCAAGTATAATCCTTTTTTGATTGGCTCTTGCATGTGCTTTCTAATCAAACGCGCATAGTCTTTGTCTCTTTTTCGAATAAAATATATAGAGTCGGCAAACTATTAAAAAGCAAAAAACAAATAATACGTTCGAAATAAAAAATTCTAATTAAATTTATAAGATTAGAATATTTAAATTAATTTACAATTAGATAATTGTGCACGTTATATAAAACAAGAAAAACAAACATTTTTTTAATTTGATGTTAAAATCACAGAGAGAATGCCATGAGGAAAGAGAAGGAAATGGCTTAATCCTGCACAGTTTTGTAATTTATTCGCAAGTTTCTTACGCGATTGCATTTTCTTTTCTAAAGGATATAAAATCGTTATCCCTCGAGAAGATATATTATAGTAGCACGTGCTTCTTCTCGCTCCGTGCCTGGAATCCACGAGTCGCGCGCGCATTGGAGACAGCGTCGCTTGCATTTCACAGCTGGACTTAAAAAATCAACTATGCGTGACCGATCGTGACGTGCGTGATTTCACACGGACAAAGAGAAAACCGAGAGTGAGAGAGAGAGAGAGAGAGAGAGAGAGAGAGAGAGACGCGGATCGATAGGACAGCTTATCGTGACGTTGCCGAAGAAACCACAGCGGTATCGGGCCGCATTAAACAATATGCGAGGCGCGAGCTTGCGAAATTAACTCGTACGACTGGGGCTTTGCCCGGATGAAATGGAGCGCTTTGTCCGCGGAATGTCTTAGCTAATTTAGTTAGAGAAACATCCGGATCGGATTATAAAAGTGTGGAGAGAAGTGACGCGAGAGAAAGATGTGTTCCTCGCAGAGAAAATAATTGTTTTATCAAGAATGCATTGCACGAATCTGCAGGTGTGTCGTCATTCTCCCGCGAAAGTTCGCAAGTAATCTTAGCTCTCCCCTCACGTTGCGCAAGATATAATATAACCGGGTATGCAGAGGATAAAAATATGCTGGCGCATCAGCCTTGGCCGTGACATCGATCGAGAATGGCGGGAAAACGATCGTTTGATCCACGGCGAGGAAACGTATGCACGTTCTATTGTGGTACCACCAAAGTCAAACCGACGCGGGGCTTGTGTAATCCGATAGGACATGTGGATCTTATCAGGAATGTTGACGCTTCATACGCCGGAATGCCGCGTTCGTTATGGAATATCCAGGTGGCAGACTTGGCTCCGGTTTCTGGTCGAGCGCGATTTTCACGCGGGGACGCGACTTTTCTCGCCGTCCGCGTCGTCCCGCGCCCCCTGAAATCCCGTGCCAAGGTGCCTTGACACGTAAACATCGTCGCTAATTAGTTTCGCGAAACTACACACCTCGGATAAATCTCGTTAGCGTGCAGCTTTGTGCGCGAAATTATTTTCCTTCCGCGCGAAGGCCGCGTCCCGAGACTTCTCTAATTGAAGCTGCAACGCTCGTAACGAAAACTCATATTATTCTTCTGATGTATCTTATCTGTCCGGTTCTCCGATTGTCACGAATGCGTTGACTTTTGCAATTAGCCGCCAAGGCTAGCCGCTGCCTCCGTGGAAAACGCCAGCGGAAGATGGAGACGATAAGATTCCAACCTTGATGATAATTTTTTTATTTAATTACGCAGCAGGAAACCAACGTTGACGCTTGTAAAAGGTCGATATCGCGTGCTCATATTCCTCACGACTAATGTCAAAGATAAAATATACGATTTTTTTCTTACTGCCGCGCGAGCATTTAAGTTGCAACAGGCCGCGATAAACTCCTTCGACGTTGCACTCCACCACTTTGACGCGATCTGATGTAACGAAGTTGTTCACAGCGGCGGCCTCATATCGGAGGCGACTTAACACTTTTATGTCACTGCAGCAACACAATCTAGGCTTTACGAGGACATTAGCGCTGCTAGAACGGGACGGCTATTTGGGCGCGATCCAGGGACTTTTACGGGCGCGGAGTTTCGTAATTTTACTATCGGCTCTTTTGTCTTTCCCGCGCACCCTATTCGCAAAATGAAATATCGTCGCCGACGATGCCCGCGGTTTTGCGCATCGGTGTCTAAGAGACATCCAGTAAACGTCAATCTGGAATATTTATTGCGTCGCACGGTCGCGCGTCGCGTCGCGTCGGCCCGAATAGGCCGCGGCGCTCGCAGTACGTGCCCCGGCATGAATTTCCCCGGCGGTTTGTACTTTCTGATTCACCGCTCAATATTTCCGAATTTTACGGTCGCGCCACGATAGTCCTTGACACGCATCAAAGTGCCATCGACGCGATGATTTCGACGTGCCGTCGGGAACTTGAGATATCGAGTGCAGATGGAGCTTGCACGTATAACACTCCAGCACCTCAAACGACTAGTCTGATACGCTTATACGCCACTTTATGCCAGGAGAATACATATATATATTAAGAATTAATTTATTTAAAATACTATCTCTTGGATGTGTTGATCTTTATTTTTTAAGATTTTGAAGGTTTGCTAGTGTTTATTTTTTAAGATTTTGAAATGCCGAGATCCTTGTATTCGCAGATTATCTTACAAGTAAATTTTTTAAGCCTTGCGAAACGCTCTATTCACTTGCACTGTTAAATTCATAAAAAATTGCCAAATTATATTTAATTTGAGTTTTTAATCATCCTTACATAAAGGTCGCGAGGCCATTATTGCTTTTACTCAATATGTCGTTTAAAATTAATTAAAATAATGGAATTAAACGATTTAATTCAATAAATTACCAAATTTTATTCAAATTTAGTTTATAATTATAGTTCATCTTTATCAAGTGTACACGTTAATATGAACGTTATTTATTAAAACTAATTGTAAGCAATTCATTAGAAAATTCTACAGAAATAAATTGATTAGACGTAGTTTAATCTCATATTTTGTATTAAAATAATATATTTTGACAGACATGACGGTTAAAAATAACGGAATTGTATTTAATTCAAAGAATTGGTTTAAATTTGCTTCTTTAATATTTAACAGATATATACATTTATTATGAGAACTCGAAGGACGTCAGACAGCCGGCGTTTCGGACGGGGTTATCTGACTTTGCTAATTTTCTGTTTTAGGAACCAAGTTTCTCTGCAGCGAGGTGATAGCGCTAATAAGGAGCGAAGTGGACGACATTTGCCTGCAAATCATAAACTTCGAGGATCTGAGCTCGCAGCCGCCACCGCAGCCCGCGATCCCGCCGCCGAGTCAGGCCAACAACAGGCTCGCGACACGCTGTATGTTCCAATTTTATTCGTTCTACTTCGACTCGTCTCAATGCACGTCCCGTGTGCGCGGAGTTTCGTATACGAAAATTCACCGTAAAACTCGCGCGGCAGTGGTCCTCGAGATTCGAAAGCACATCCCCGTTGTTTTACGAAAGTTCCGCTGCGCCTCAATTGCTGTTAATAAATGATAGACCGAGAACGGTCAGAGTGCACGCATGTTGAAGTCCTATAGAAAATTTGAGAAAAGTTAAAGAAAAATATCGAAAGTCTACTATCGTTTACCGTGTGAATCTCGATTGAATTAGACCGATTTCAGAAATGTACTCCCGCTTCAATTGCTGTTAATAAATAGTAGATAAATTCGAGAACGACTGGAATGCACGCGCGTGTTGAATTTCTATGGAAAATTTGAGAAAAGATAAACAAAAATATCAAGTCAGCTGCTGTTACCGTTAGCGTATGCCGTATAATGTATCTCGATTAAATTAGACCGATTTCAAAATAGTACCGATTGTACTTGTCCGGCTAGATCAAACGGCATCTCCTCCCCCCCGGCCCTTAACGTTTACACACGATATCCTGCCAAGACATTTCGTGCCTCCCACACATATAACTTCTTGCGGCTTTTAAACGCGGCTATCATTATTTCCTGCTGCACCGTCCGTTATAAGACATCGTCGTCGCCGCTGACATTCGGGGCCGCCATCGCGCCACCGTGTTTCGCAAGTGGGACGTGGTACTGCACACACGTAGGCTACTCCTCATTGTGACGATCATTATTACGATCATAGATTCAGGTCAGGTGTTATCCGCATAATGAGCCGCGTTACAATCCCTGCAGAAATTCGGACGCAGAGTTCTTTCGTGTGCGCAATTACATCCGCGTATTACGCCATTGTCATTCCTGCACGTGATACGTACACGTGCGTTTCTTTCTTTTTTACCGATTTTTTTCTTTGTTTTGTTGAAATTTCTGGTTACCCTTTCAAAACACGCGGACTGTCTTTTTACTCCCGTTTACGCGCAATATTTTCATGCGTAAGCGCGACAGTCTTTTCTTCTGCAGTAACTAGACTTTGCTTTTATCGTCACCGCAGATGCAGCGTAAAATACACAATATAAAAAGTTTACGCTCTCAATATGCTGCTGTCCCGCGTACCTATCCGCTGAAATCTCTACTAATGAAATTTCTACTTTTTTTATGTCGACTTATTTATTAATGCAATCCGTTGACGCACACCGTAGCTTTTGCACAAACTTTCCTGTCGTTTTTTTTTTGTCGAACAAATTTAGAGGCACACGTATGTATACGCGCATGTAATACGCGTGCACGTATGTTATACGCACATGCATATATGCGTACGGGAGGACGGGACACGTGGTCGCGTTTTATATCTGGAGTGCTCGCGAAACTATTTTTAGAGTGACGCTGCAGAGCGCTGGACGTGTGTGGCGCGCCTAACGGTTAACCCTGACCCGGTAATAAATGTTATGCCCTCGAATAGGTTAGCTATAGGTGCCTTACCTCCTGGTTGATAATCCGCCCTCCCTCCCTCCCTCTTAAACAGCTCAGCTGATGGTTAGAGACTTGTAACAGAAATCGATCGTGGCGGAAAGTCGCGTAGCGCTGAGTGAGAGCGTGCCTCGAGGAAATGCCTTTTTCGACGAGCGCGTCACGCATGAAAAAAAAAATCAATGGACGCGATTACATTTCCCCCCTTTATTCTCGCTCGGCTTTAGATATTATCGCGCGGGTTTTTCCTTCCTTAATCGAAAAGAGAGAATTTGCTCATCGGACAAATTGTGAGAGCGCACATGTGATCCTCGTAGCGAATCATAAACGGAGAGAAACGTATGATTGTTTTTTCGAGAAATTTTATTTAAATGTGACAAAATTTTTTTAATTTTTAATATATTTGATACACGGACAGTAGCTTCTCTTCAAATATATACGTACAATTAATTGTAAATATAAAATACAAGGGACGTGCCGTTGCCATACGAACGAGTAGTATCTATGTTGCTATTTCAAGTCGCCAGTAACTCAAGATACCAATAACTGAATGCGTAGGAATTCTGAAAACCGATATAATCCGCACAATCGATAGTTTGTACGGAGTTTGAGATTGTCTCTCTCGCAGCTTAGTCTATTCAGCCTTAGCCTCATCAAAATGCAATCAATAACGGATATTTGATGGAGTAATCCATCATCTAAATAAATCGGTCGTCTAGTGTGGTGATTATACCAATTAATGATCATTAAATAATTACCAAGCAAATAATTATACTTCAAAACTAACTCCGTTAGTTCCTTGTCTGTATAATTAAGATGCCCTTTAGAACTCAATATTATATATAAAGTTGTTATAAATTCTGCAATTATCTGTTTGTAAAGGTTTCATTTTACACTTATTTCAGATTACTTTACTTTATTATTCAATTTACGATCCCGTATTTGTTTTCCATCCGTTTTCGTCTTATTACCGAGTCAGCGTGATATTTGCCCGAGTCGATATATCACATAGGAAAACAACTCGGAAACGGTTCAATCAATCCGCATCCTAACAGCACATTATTCCGGCGGACATTCGCGGCGAAAGCGGCTCTTCTCGGTTTTATAACAATCGATAAGTGCATATAGCGCGCACTCGAGAAGATTGTGGCCGTCGTATCTGATCGTCGGCGCTCTTCTCCCAAAAGCCTCTCTCTTTATCCGCTTAATTTTTCTTCGACCGCGCTGACGATGGGCGATCGCGCGGCTGTATAATTTCATCCCGCCCGACTTGCGCATCCGAGTGCGAATGTATGATTACATTGCTGTTTCTTTGTCGCGTTTTACCGCTGGCGCTTTAATCGCGCGCATTTACATACCGAAATTAAATGTAACGAGCAAATAACGCGCGCATTTTCGTCCGATAATCGCGCGGGGTTTCTTTTTTTTTTCAGCGCGCTTTGATGCATTCGCACGCGCGCCAGAATCACGTCATTTTCCGATTGACAAATGACTAATGAATATTAACGACACTCTCGTTGAGAAATTAATGCGATTTTTAAAAAAACTTTAAATCTACGCGAGGAGGACGCGCGCGTAAAAAAAATGACTCGCGTCTCTCGTCTCGAGCGATTCCCGGTAAAACTCAACGCGATCAATATACGCGCGCTGGACATTTCTCGATTGATGGAGGCTGACGAATCTTGGCGGCGTTCGCGGCGAACGTAGGTTCCAAGACAAGGGATAATATTTTAACGTAAGTTCAACGGCCACGCGGCTGGCGCGAAATCAAGAGCAGAAACCGGGGGATTGCACATTCTGTCATCTGTGTGCCAGACGTCGCCGGGCCGCGCCGATGTCGGACGGCGAATTGAAAGTACGACGTTGACTGACTTATCTTTGTGAAGTATCCTTGCCGAGCGGCGTGGCAAATGGATTTTCCAGTACCTTGACAAGTGACAAGTTCGATGGGCCGAGTCGGGACCAAGTTAAATTCATCGTTAACTTTCGACGACGCGCTCGTGTCATTAATATTTCGACGGTGGCAATTAAATGGCAATTATCGTCCGGGTTAAATATTAAATATGTAAATTACAATCATTGTTACTCTAAAGGTTGCGTGTGTACTTATGAAATTTGAAATTCTATTGTTTTTTTAGAGAGGGAAGTAGCGATCGTTGCGAAGAGAAATTAAAAAAAAAATAAAAAAAATATTGTCCACGTTAAATATTAAAATACGTAAATTAGAATCGTTGTTATTATGAAAGAATTATAAGACATGCTTATGTAATTTAAAAATCTATTATTTCTTTAAAGAGGTAAATCGATCGCGCGTCGCGAACGAAGACCTCGTGTGCATCGAGGTGGAAAAATAAGGAAAATATAATAATATATATCGTAATCAGTATATCAAGTAATAACATGTGCGTTTTATCGCAAACTGTTTTAGCAGCTTTAACGTGACTTGTCTAATTGAGCTTAAGCGTATGCGCATGTTGTCTCGTGAAAAACCTGTCGTGCCGGGTATTACACAACGTGCTTGCATTCCACGCGTCCTGCATGTTTATCCTACGTGTTTTGCGTACATTAGCCGAGCGTCGAGGATGTAGATAATATAAAAAAAAAACTGTTCTCGGTCGTCCGTCGCAGCGTATCGACCGGAGTCGTAGATGCATAATTGCCGACTCCCGCGGCGGTAATTTATGCGAGAGCGCTGCGCTCTTTTTTGCACGCCGCGCCGTCGCACTCTAACACCAACTCACTAACAAGTACTAATGAGACTCAATGACGTTGACTCGAGCAGTCGACAGGGCAAGGGCGTCCTTCCGGGCTGGCCTGTCGAGGACCGGTGTCGTCGGTCCGCCGAGGGTCCGGAATCGACCGCGCACGACGTCTAATTTGCCACATCGACTTGCCGACGGGACCATCCTCGACGAGGACGCTTCTGAGAACTGGTGAGTCACTTATTTGTCTATTCTGTAAATGTTCTTGAAGCGCGGATTTTTCGCCGCTTTTAACTTTAACGCGATTTAATTTTTATTATAAGATAGAGCTATATCTTCCGAAATGTTTATTAAGAAGAAGTAAAGTTTTATTTTACTAGAATTGACTAAAATAATATTATACGAATATTATATTCATACAATATTAATTCATATAATATTATTTCGGTCAATTCTAAATATTTTTTTTAAATTTGAATTTGCTTCGCAACAAAATTTCTTTTATATCTAGCTAATTAACTAATTGTAAGAGATAAACCGTTGTTTTAGATAAGACACGCGTATATATGTCAGCGATTAATCATATTTACCGTAATGAGTGGAAAAGCGGTAATTAAGATGCGTGATTACACCGAGAATTTCTCAAGTACATATAGCATTACTCGCGTCTGTCAGCGTGTGAGGGGATAACTGGCCGTATTATAGAACGTATACCATCGGGGAGCACAGAATCTGATTAAACAGGCATTGCACAGCAATCAGAGTAACGAAGCAGAGAGCTCTCTCTCTCTCTCTCTCTCTCGCACTCTCTTTCTCTCGCACTCTCTCACTCTCTCTCACACTCGCTTTACTAACGATATTGCGCTGTATCGCGATGCGTCAGTGGTATCGCGACGATGAGTCGGGCAATCAGCGGGCCAACGGATGGCCTTTTCGGTCGCTCGTTACCCGATCGATTACCGCGCAAAGTAGCCCATGGGAAGGAGGGGAGGGGGCGGGAAGGAGACATTAACAGTGCGAACAACGACTAACCTACATATCCAGTGCCAATAACTTTAAAACTTTAGTCACGGTTCCGAAACTATAACAAAATTGAGGCGTCAAGCGTCTAGTCTGTCCTTCTCTTTTCCTTCGCCATTGCGTTCTTTTGTACTCCCAGCGTTTGCGTCCTTAAACGAATTCGATTATCGAATTATCTCCGGAATGTTCCGAACTTATCGTGTCTCCTTTTTTTTTAACGAATTGCTTTAAACAATACTTGGAAATTTATTTTAATTGAAGGAAAGACAACTCGAGCGTTGTGCGTGCCCGAGTCGCAGGTATTATCCAAATTACATTTTCGGGACAAGATCGGCTTTTGATTATAGCTGGACTTTGTCGAAACGCTCTTGAGTAAACAGTCATGTTCAGTAGAGAAATGTCAGACTGACGGGAAGATCGACAAACAACCATCGAGCCGTCGGACGGCTGCACCGAGCCTCCTGTTCGATGTGCTTTTTATGCCCGTATTTATAGCCGCGTTTCAGCTGAAGAACTCAAGCCGAAATCGATTTTGAGACATGATACGGTTTAACAGATAAATCTTGAGAGCCAATTTGATATGCATTACGTCATATTTGCAATCACGATTTAATTAAGGATTGAAGTTTGTCTCCAAACACGACGTGATTTTTTTATTTCTCATGGTTCAGTAATTGATTCTTTTAAGAATGTATGTGTGTATTATTAATCTACACAATTTTCTAGAGAAATGAAAATATTATTACGGGAAAAATTTAACTTGCAGCTCAAGTAGATTTTTAATACATTAAAATTAAGAATTATAGCGTATAATGTAAAATACTTTATTATGTTTTTTGTATGAATTCCGAAAGAATGTTGGAATAAGAATTTTTCATATTGCATATGATATAATAAAGTAGCTTTTGTTCGTAAATTTTTTTTCCGAACTTGGCATGGATACGTCAACGATATACAAACATGCACTGAGAAAACCTCTTATGTTTTTATTATATCAATAAGATATGTATATCAACAAGAATAATGGGATAAAGGATAATAATAGGATAATAATAGGACAAGAATGATAAGATTTTTTGTTAAAAAAAAATTTCGTGTGTGATAACTGGATATTCTTTTTGGTCTCATTGAAATATTATTCTTGTTAGTATTCATCTTGTTGGTTATAGGTATATTTAATAAGAATTTTTTTCCGAGTAAATCAATGATACCAAATTTAATATTAATTTGAAGAAATTTCTCTTTGGTTTAAGAAAGAAATTTGTACAAATTAGTTTATTATTATTTATTTTTCTTATTCGTATAATATTTTATGTCTCGAAAATATTGAAATTATGTGATTTTAATACGTAAAGAAAAAATGAGATTAATTTGCGACATTATTTGCAGAAATTAATTCGCTTTTTCTATTTGTTATATAATCCTTGATTTATTACAATTATATAATTTTAATCTCTTGAATTAAAATCTGGAAATAATAAATCAGTTAAATAAATAGTTTTTTGAGAGACCAAATAAAGAGATAAATTTTATTCTTGAAATAATATCTAAAACTAATCATTCTTTTTTTAACGAATCAAACATTTTATTTAAAAGAAAAGAACAATGAACCTGAACCATTTACTTGTAAGAATTAAAATTTATTATTAGTAAATACATTTATACACATTTTCTTTAATTAAATTCAAGCACATTCTGTCGTCAAAATTTAAATTAAGTAACAGTATCTTTCCATTCTAAAATTCTCTCTCAATTAGTCAAATGGAACTAATCTTAGACAGTGCTAATGAACGCAAGTTCGAAATTAATTTAAAGTGCACGATAAAATATTCAACGTACGTTTATAATACTTTGATATTTCACAAAACGTTGAATATTTTGCAGTCATGTTTATTTTTGTTGCATACACACAGAGGGTGTACGCAAGGCTGCTAAGCGTTGTGTTGTCATTCGTGTAACGAGATTCAAGCTAGCAGGTGTTAATGACAAGTGTGTATCACTCTCTGTGTAGCCTCGTATTACTTACTTATTAGTCAATCATGCATTGATAATTAATTTATTTTAAAGAGAATAAACTTACAATTACTTAATTAGAGTTAATTAATCGCGCAGACTGGTAGCAATTAATTTGTAGAAAATAATTGTACACGATGTGTATATATTAGGATTAATCTCGGGAGTGCAATTATAGTATTCCGCTTATCAGTACACGCGAACGTAATTAACGGTATTTTCGCGAGTTTATATTACCTATATACGTATCGGCGTTGATGGAAAAGTGAGATACAAATCAAAATCATTTTTGAAACAGAAAATTATCCGTAAAAGGGTAAAAGAATGAACAAAATTAGAAAATTGAAGGGTCTCTTCCTATTGAAATATCAATTTTCTAATTTTTTTACTCGTTTTCTATCAACAGTTTTCAATACGGGGATATACATATTTACTTTAAGGTATTAATTAAACACTATCGTACTTTTAAAGCCGTTTACTGTAGTTTTAATTCATCCCGCGCGCGCTCGCGATGCATTTGGACTAAAACCAGATGATATCTGGCATTTCAAAGCCATGTTTCACGGTAGTTTTGTTCGAAAAAGAGACATACGTATCCTGTACCTCTGGAAAAATATCTCTCGTGTCGAAAGATCGGAATTGATATCGCGCTGCACCCGGTGGCATTTCCCGATTCGAGTTCACCCGAACACACGGCGGCCAGTATCTGGTGGCCAGAGCGCGCTCCGAAATCTATCTACGATCGCGGACACGCTCGAGTAAACAACCGGGTGTTGCGGAAACGACGACCGTGTGCGCGCAATGCGATGAAAGAATACATAAACAGCGATCGTCCTCGCCGCTCATCCAGAGATCGATTGCTGATGCTTGCTCGAGTCACTCTTACGTTAGAGTTACGAGTTCGATGAAGAAATTTGCATCGTTCGGTCATTTACGGGCGCGATTTACGAGAGAGCGTCGAGACGCTCGTTAAGCGACCGAAATTTCTGCAAACAAATCCACCTTCGCGGATTTTCCTTTTATTCCCGAAGCATGATGCCGCGATTTTCCCGAGCTTATTTCCGTGTTCTGCAGGGAGCGGCCGATCAATATATATTTCTCGCTGGAAGCAATTTCGGCCATGGCGATTGTACCATACAATTCCGAACGAATAGAGAATCTTGGAAAATCCCAACGGTTTCCTCGAGTTATTTTCAATGCATGTCGTTGCTTATTCTTATATCTTTGATTATTTAATAATAATTAAATCATTTATATAGCTCTAATTTAAAAAACTTTATTACTCTTTTTAAGTACTAAATACACATAAGACAGAAGGTTAAAGAATAAAGGAAAAATACCAATTTTTGTGTTATAATCCTTTTCATTCGTTTGCCAAAATAAGATCAATACAGTTTATTAGGTATACTTATTTTCAGATCGAAGAAAAAAGAATATAGGTCGGGCATTAATTATGCGATATGGGAAAGCTATCATGATTTCATTTTATGTATTGGCCCACGATGGGACCGAGGAATTTAATTTCATCCCCCATTTGTCGTCGAATGATAACTACGAAATTTCCCACATTGCTGGATTTAGCTCGCGCTGAAAGTTTCGTATATATCGCGGCTTATGCCGTAATAAAAAGACGGAAAAATATGTTTTCGCCGGAAAATCTTCAATAAAGGACACCTGAGGTGAAAGACACATCTCCTTCCTCCAAAGCCGTTCGTGTTCGGGGACAAATGTGATTTGTGTCTAAAAATATAACTATATAGACGAAGAAATACATAACGTAAATAGACCAAGACTATATATATATATATATATTGTTTGCGTTATTTCTTATATATATATATATATATATATGTACATACATATACCGTGTTTCACGAATCGGTGAAGGAGCTTTGCATCGTTTCCTCCGTACCTTTGATGAATAACATAAGTAACCGCGAACACGATTCGGTAGAGAAATCAGATTTACTCCAAGAGCTGTCGCCGCAGTTTCCACAAGTTTTAATAAAGGATGTTGGAAACATGCACTGTAATCTGTTTAGACACAATGTATCAGCGGTTACTTCGTTAATCGGATCCAGAGTAAACGAATACAAATGCGAACAAATACAAACGAACCCCTCGCGAATGCTGTTCGCATTAATTAAAACAAGTTTTTCGTTCGTATTTGTTCGCATTCACTTACTTGATTCAGATTC